GGCAGACAAGAGGCAGGACCGCCAAGGAAAGCAGTTGACAGCTGTGTCTCATACAAGCAGCCGAGAAGGGGCCAGAGGAGCTGGGTACATGGACGAGGGGCCAAAGGCAAAGACAGCACAGAAGAGACTAGAGCAAGGACGGCAGGCCAGGCTGAGAGAAGCAGGATTTCTCCGCGGAAAAAAAGGCTTCCGGTGGAGGGGAGAATCAGAATCTATGCCATACGATTTTTTTTCAGCATCCTTTACCAGTATGAAGTCATCTGGGTATTTTAAGAACATGTGATGCATTATGCATATCTCATTTTTGTTGAAAGAAGCCTGGGTTAGTATATTTAAAGATGTGAATGCCTGGAAAATTATCGGGGGAGAAATGTGGGATTGTTCCCCCCCCCCCCCCGCCAGAATTTTCTGGGCTTCTCAAAACTTTCACATCTGTACCCAGCTTCCTTCGGGCAGAGATAGGAAGGAACCCAAGAGAAAATCCCTGATTGTCCCCCTTTCCGGGCTGTGGCCCGCTGGCCCTGGGATCAGCAGCCCAGGATCCTCCTCTGACTGGGCTCTCAGGCCTCTGAGGCCTGTTCCCCACCCGGAGCGGAAGAGAAAATTGACCTTTGGCAACGCGGCCTTGGTTTACACCCGAGTCCTCGAGCCGTCCTCAACCGTGGGGACACAGCGCCACCTGGAGGTCATGGTAGACACTGCAGCACTAGGACAGATGGCCGGCAGAGTCCTGAGTCAGGAAGGGTAGGAAGAAATAAAGACTATGGACAAACTTATTGCAAGCATTTATGAAGCCCCACCCTATGAAGCACCTTAAATACTACGAAAGATGATGAGGGGATGGGAGGCCTGCAATTGTGGCGACTTGGACATGAAGATTAATATGACCTCATTTGTAACTCCCTCCCCGCAGCCTAGAGAGCATTCAGGTTTACGGATCCAGGGTGCCTGGCACACGAGGTGCCTAATGAATGCTTATTGAGTTCAGTTGTGGCTCTCCAGAGTCACGGCCCAACCCTGGAGGGATCTGAATTTGAGGAACGTAATGGGAGGCCGCTCCGGAAGGGACAGAGGATAAAGGGTAAGCGATGAAGGCCTTGTAGTTTCACCAGGCAGACCCTCACCCAGGCCCAGTCAGCCCCTCTGCCCAAAGCCAGTGTCACTAGCTCAGCCTCGTGTGCCCTACTCTTGGGAAAGGGAAATGCCAGGTCCCTCGGCTGGCATCTGGAAAACAATAAGGCAGCTGCAGGGGAAGTGACTAATGAGCACTCCAGGGAGCAATTCAGGACATCATACATCGAAACTTCTCCCATTCAAAATTGATGTTACCACTATCTAATTAGAAAATGTGCTGATCTCCCCAGCTTCGTGGGAACGTGGTCCTGAGGCTGTTTGCAGGCAGCTAAGCCTGAAGAGGGCCCACATCTCATCTGTCAGAGCAGCAGCCCCAAAGAGAGCCTCAAAACCGCCCTCCTCACTGCCTCATGCATTCCCATCTCTGAGACGCCAATTGTCAGAGCTGGATGGAGACTTGGAAGCTTCTAACCTGACTTGCTCCTTTTCTAGATAGAGCTGAGGCCCAGAGAGGTTAGATCACTCCGTTAAGATCACACAGCAACACAGCCAGGACCTGAGAGCAGGCCAGCCTTCGTGCTGCCAGTCCAGACTATTTCCCACCACACAGGGACGTTGTCCCAACTTTGTGTGGAGTCCTCAAGGTTCTGGTCAGCTTGCTGGACGTGATGTTTCTCTGACACAATTTATCCACGTTGGCTCGAGGCCCTAAGAGGGGTTCTTCCCTCACTCCTTACAACCAAGTCATGGCCCAGATCTCTGGTCCAATAACCACCCCCCGCCCCAGGCAGCCTTCCAGAACCGTGTTCCCCACACCTATTTCCCTCACTAGTCAACTCACTCACTCCACATACACTCATTGCTTAAGCTCTTGGGCTTGGAGTCAGACCACCTGGGCTTAAATCTTGTCTCTCTTGTGAGCTTGGCAAGATCCCTGACCTCTCTGGGCCTTGGTTTCCTTTTCTTTAAAGGAAGAATGATGCAAACACGTAACTCACGATGCGGGTTAAATGGCATCAGTCACGTGCAGCATTTAGTGAGTACCTAGCGAAGAGCAAGCCCGAAGTTAGCTCTAATTAGCGCACAGTGACGACCAAAACATCGTGCCTGGCAAGAACTAAGATACGGAAACTGCCCAAGACGTGGGCAATTCGGTTAAGGGCAAGAAAGGGAAGACTCTATTAGGGAATCTCAGGGGAAGGGGCTCTAACTCTGCCTAGGCATCTAGGAAGGGAGGAGACACCACCTAAAGCTGAGTTTTCAAGGGTGAGTAGATGTTAGCAAGGTGAAGAAAGATCTGGGGTTCCAGAGGCAGGACTCAGCATGGCACATTTCAGGAACCTCAGTGCCTTTGCTGCCGGAGCCACAGGTGTGAGAAAGAGAGCTGCAGAGAGGCTTGGAGAGGTGGCCAGGGGCTGGGTCACACAGGCCTGCAGACGCCATGGACGAGTCAGGGCTTGGGCCTGGAGATGACAGGGAGCCTGAGGAAGGGCTTTAAGCAGAGAAGGGACACGATCAACTTGGTGTTTTAAGTAGGTCATTCTGGGCTCTGTGGGGTAGATCTTCTCTGCTTGGCTCCCCTTCAGCAATGATGTGGTGCCCTTGGATGGTTTATTTTAAATGGTCAGGGAATCTGCTCTAACCAGGCCAATTTCAAAGGCCCATCCTAGCTACGCTATTGTGTGGACCACATATATTCCCAACAACTGAGAGTCACCACACCCGTCCAATAGGGTTTACTTCCCTTTCAGACAGTTGGGGTTTATTAAGACAACTCTGAGCCCTTTGAGGGCAGAGGCTGTTTTATTCATTTTTGCATCTCCAGACACAGAATATACATTTAGCAAGTGTTTGTTAGATGAGTAAGTGCTCATCAATGATACCAAACTCTTTCTCTGAGCATTCCAGAGGCCCTGTGGGATCAGCACTGGATCCATCACCCAATTGGGGGTTTCATGGCCTAAGACCAGGGTGATAAAGGGTGTCAGATTGGCCAAGTTTGTTGTGCTGTTGTTTAGTTGTTCCACATATTGTTGCTTCTAGAATATTCTATCATAATTCTGAATGGGTTAGGATTCCAAAGACCTGCCTTCCAGCTCCTGTTTCATCAAGATAAGCTAGGGAACCTCAAAGCCTTACCCTGCGGTATGTAAAACCAGGGTGTGACTCGTGATTGTTAATGTGCTGACTGGCTTGGAAAACACTATGTGTCTGTAATACTCGGTTGTCTGTTGGACAACTTCCCTTCTTAGCCTCTCAGGCTTCATGTGATAAAAGACGAACTGCCTTTTATCACATTAGGCATTATAGTCAGACCTTGGTAGCCTTCAGCACATCACATAACCTGTAAAAAGGGGTGATTCAGTCTCCCCTGATTGCTTGCCCTAAGTCTAAGAAACAAGGCCTGTAAGGAAGCTAACACTGGCTGGCTCCTGAGGATGTGTGGCTGTAAGCACAAACATAACCCTCCCTTTTCTCACTTGTAAACTGGGGATGACAATATCCACTTTGTAGACCACACGCATTAACACATATGAAGTGCCTAGCAGACATTCAAAGCCAGGCGTGGTTATTCAAGATGACTTCTAAAGCTGTTTGCCTAGGATTAAAGTGGTGAGCATAAGGGTTGAATCAGCAAAGAATTGAAAACTCTCAACTATCCCAAGGCCAGTCCAGAACTAACCGCTATGTCCTCACCCCCCTGTCATGCCCTGCTCCCAGCCTGGGCCCATCTCCGTCCAGCATAGGTCCTGTTCAACCTTCTTGGAGACGAGGCTCCCGGGATGGAATGTGGGAACTGCCACAGGTGAACGAGACTGTGACAGTCCCAGCCCCAGCTGGGCTAGGACCTAGCAGGGACCTCAAATCCAGAACCTGAGGATATGTGTGCCCATGTTCCCAACCAGCTGTCACTTCCTAGGGCAGGGACAGTGTGCTGCTGTGGGTCTCCCCCAGCTCCGCTTGGAGAAACACTTGGGGCAGATGCGATCTGCCCAGATCTGAGAGGAGCTGGGGTAGAGCAGGCTGCCTTCCCTCTTCGATCACTCTGGTCTGATTTTTCGCATGAAATCTGTGCCGAGGGCTGAACTCTCGGTAGACTGCCACGCACACCCACCGCAGGCAGCTCATTCACCCTCTGCCAGAGGCCTGAAGGACAGGACAAAGGGGGCAGGTGCTTTCAGTACGCTCGGCCACCCCCTCACCCTGCCCAACCCCCAAGGCAGCTCCATGGAAACCCAAACTCTTCCCACCTCACCGGACAGGACTCGGTACAGGCACAAGGGTTCTCGCGTCTGCCCGTTCCTGCAGAGCTGGCCCCTCCGCTAACATGGGAGCGATACCTTGTGGGATATTCCCGCACACGGAGGAAATTAGCCAGCCCCACTGCCACAGCAGGAGGGGGCTTTGAAAACATCTTGGGAGTTTAAATGTAGAGCCAGCACGTATCAGCTGCAAGCCCCTAGCCCAGTGAACTTCCCCTCTTGGGCTAGTTCCTTGACTGTGAGAGATGCCATGAGAGCCTGCAGGTTTTGTGAGGATTAACCTGCCTTGAAATTAAAGCTTGAAAGAGCACAGAGTACAACACTTTAAACATCAGTTTCCTCCCCGCTATCCTCCAGCCCCCCACGGCTGTCCCACGGTCTTGGTGCCCCTCTGGTCAGGACTTCTTCAAAGATGGCTGTCTCAGTGAGGCCAGCGCCACCTACAGGCTGGCCTCCGGAACGCCCTCCCCCAGGCCTCCGCCTCCCCAAGCTGCACACCACCTGTGGTTGGGGGAGCCCCCAACCACCTCTCTACAGAGAAAGAAGATATACACAGAGGCCTTGAGGTCCCTAGATCACCCCACCGCGGCGGGATTCCATTCCATCTCGGGCAAGCCTCAGCCTAACCATCGAACTTTTGTTGACAAAGCAACAGGCTAACACTTGGTTGTAACGTGTTTAATTTGTGCTGTCCACACTGGACGCTGCATAGAACTGGAGTCAGCCCCCTGAGAGCACCCCCACCGCCCCCACACAGAGGAGGATGGGGATGGATGTTCAGAGCCAGGGAAGGGAGAGAAGAGCTGTGTATAAGACTGTGACTCCCCGGAGGGGGTGAGAGGTTCCCCTCCTCGTCTGGCAGGTGAGGGGGTGAACGGCAATCCAGAGGGGGCGATGTGACTACACCCACGGGATGTTAACTTTCCCACGTGAGGAGGCGGGACCCTGGAAAAGGCTCTGTGCTCGGGGTGCTGGCTGGCTGCTTGTCCTCGGTGACAGCCTTGGAGGGAAGCGGAGATGGCCGGGAGGCCGGGGCTGCAGAGGCCTTACCGCTTCCTTCAGGTGGCGATGCCTTTCCAGCTGATCTCAGGCCGGGAGAGCTGGAGCCAGCCCTCGGCCCCCTCAGGTCTCGGGAGGTCCCAACCAGGGCCGGAGGAGCGCTCTGACAGCCCTGCCTTTAGATCACCGGAAAGGCCGCGGCCAAGCTGCCGTCTTCACCACCAGGGACCGCAAGATAGCGCAACTGTCCCTTCAAGTGACCGCTCTTCAGCTTGCCGAGCAGTTCCCATCTTTTAGGTAGAAGGCAAATGCCAGACTTCACTCTCTTCCGTCCTGACACACATGTGCACACATTTACGAGGTAAGCCGGTGAGGGAAAGGGACACGAGTGACGCGGCCAGCCTGGCTTCCTCCTGGGGTACAAGCAAGACTGAGAGTCTCTTCAGAGGCAGCTCCTCCAGACACACACCGCACCCAGAGCCCGACTTCTGCCTCCCTGCTGGCTGAGTCACTCAAGGCTGAAGTCCACAGGAACGAGCAATTCCCCAGAAAGGACCAGAAGACACCAGAACAGAAGAGCTAGAGGTCACTGGCTCGGGCCCTTGAGCGATGAGGTGTTGTCAGTCACACGCACACTCCTCAGGTTCCAGGAAGGAATGCAAGGCCACCACACCCAGCCAGGGTGGGGCTGGGATTCTGAGGCAGTGCTGGAAGGGTCCCCCTCAGGGTGGAAAGGCATCATCTAGTGCTAGAGGCGTGAGATCTGACTCCCCCAGTCCCCTCCCTCGGTCGTACCTAGGATAACAGCTGCCCCCATCACTGCTCTGCTAAAGGCCTCAAGACGAAAATTCCTGAGAAGGTTGGGGGGGTGGGGGGTCCCTTCACGTCTACCTGTGGGGCTTCCAGACTGTTAGCTGTTGAACAAGGGAATCACCCGGGTGATCTCCTGTCTGCAGATGGGGCACTTCTTGGGCTCCGGCAAGGCGCGGTAGCACTCGGCACAGGAACAAACGTGCCCACACTCCAGAAAGACGCAGGACTTGAAGTTGCTCAGACACACGACGCAGGCGCTCTTCAGACTCTCCCTGTCCTCAGGCTTGGCGCGGCTCAGCAGCTGGGCCTCGTGCTCCTGGAACTCCTTCTCCATCTGCCTGAGGCGCAGCCGCTCCTGCCGCTGCAGATAGTGCTTTCGGAGGACGAAGAAGAGGGCCGCGCATGTGGCAAAGCCAAAGACCAGCGTCAGGACCTTCCAGAGCCTGACGCTCGACTCCTGCCTCTGCAGCAGGCTGTCAAAGTCCTGGCTGCTTAGATAGTACTGCATGCCCTGCTTGGGGGGCTGCAGGCGGACGGAGTTGTTGTCCAGGACCAGCTCGCCGACCCCCGTGAGTGTGGCCCCAACCTTCAGCATCTCCTCGGTCTCCTGGATGCCTTTGGGCCGCTCGCCGCTGATATAGTGGCCGATGACATCAGTGAAGGACTGGATGGAGGGGTGGAACTTCTCGTACACAGTCTCCAGGCCCAGATCCTGGGAGTCCAGGGGCTTCAGCACTCGCACGGCCATGTCCACGCTGTCCTCGTGGGGTACCAGGTCAAAGGGCACCGTATTGGTCCTCTGGTGAATGATCTTTGAGCAGTCATTCCTAAGACAGCAAGAGAGCCCAAGATAAAATGAAGGACAGCAAACACTTCATGCCCAGGCAGAGACGGGATGGCCGAAATGCCAGGACAGGATAAAGTTTGAAATACCTAGAAGAATACACACAAATCGCTACTATCCGAGTGCCTCAATAGGGAAGCTCAATTTTTTAGGTTCTCGGGCAATACCAGTGGGCGATAAACACTGTCACAGGTCACTTCTGCCATTTATTTCTCTTTGCCACATTCAAACAAACATCCGATTTCTTTAAAAACATTAAAAACAGAACTACGACAAAGGTGCCCAGGTGGCTCAGTCGGCTAAGCATCTGACTTTGACTCAGGTTATGATCTCACGGCTCATGAGTTCCAGCCCTGAGTCGGGCTCTCTGCTGTCAGCACAGAGTCCGCTTGGGATCCTCTGTCGCCCCTTCTCTGCCCCTCCCCCGCTTGCATGCACTCTCTCTCTCTCTCTCTCTCTCACGAGATAAATAAACATTAAAAAACAAAGAAACAGGGGCGCCTGGGTGGCGCAGTCGGTTAAGCGTCCGACTTCAGCCAGGTCACGATCTCGCGGTCCGTGAGTTCGAGCCCCGCGTCAGGCTCTGGGCTGATGGCTCGGAGCCTGGAGCCTGTTTCCGATTCTGTGTCTCCCTCTCTCTCTGCCCCTGCCCCGTTCATGCTCTGTCTCTCTCTGTCCCAAAAATAAATAAAAACGTTGAAAAAAAAAATTAAAACAAACAAACAAACAAACAAACAAAAACTACCATATGATCCGGCAATCCCAATCCTCTGGGGTTACATCCCAAAGAACTGGAATCAGGATCTCAAAGAGGCAGCCGCACTCCCCTGTTCCCTGCAGCATTGGTCATGGGAGCCAAGACACGGAAACCTGGGTGCCCGTCAGCGGCTGAGTGGTTAAAGAAAACGTGACACGCACACAGTGGGACATCACTCGGCCACAGAAAAGACGGACACTCTGCCGTCTGTGAGCCCGGAGCACGGCGTGCTGAGCGAACTGGGCCACTCAGCAGAAAGACAAACGCCGCATGACTCCACGTACACGACGATCTGAAAAGGTCACGCTCATAGAAACAGAGAGCAGACTGTGGTCACCGGGGGCTGGGGAACAAGAAAACTGGAGTTGTTGTACAACGGGTACAAAGTTTCAGTTATACGAGGTGAAGAAAGTCTGGGGATGTGCTGGAAGAAACAGCACTGCCTGCCACGCTCCCGAACGTGCCAGAAGGGTAGGTCTCACGTTACGCGCTCTTACCACGATCGAAAACAAGATGCAGAACGAAACACCACCACACAACAAGCTAGGTCAGTTGGAAAGACGGCTGTCTGTGTGACGGCACAAAACTGTTGCGATGGATGCTGACTTCACAAACCCGTGCCATAAATCGGCGGTTCTCAAACTCAGTGGGCATACCAACAGATTCCACGCACCCCACGGTGCGAATGCTGGCTCGGGAGGTCTGGAACGCAGCCCAGGAACCTGCATTTGAACAAGATGCCTAGGGGACTCTGATGGAAGAGGTCCTCAGGCCACACGCAAGCACGCTGTCAGCATGAAGGAACTGGTCTGTGCGCGACACCAGCGTCCGAGCCGACCAGCCGTGAGGGGTGGCGAGGCGAGAGGGGATGCATACCAGAGGTGGGTGGTTCGATTCCACACCATCTTGTGCTCCTGCAGGGTCAGCCGCTGAATCACTCCCTTGCAATTCTCCACGAACTGGCTGTTAAGCGTTTCTTTAACCGATCGGACCGCTCCTAAACGGAAACAAATTATTCGCCTTCTGAAGAATTCTTCCGCCCTCTCCTTTTACGGTGATTTACATTTTGTCTGGTTTGAGCTTAATTAATCAAAATGATGAAAATGATTATCACGGCAGGTTATGTTTTGCGGGCGCTCTGCTAAGCACTTTACAAGGATCCCTCATTTCAGCTTTACGACGGCCCTGTAAGGGAGGAATTCCTTTACAGATGGGGCAAGGGAGGTTCAGAAAGGTTCGGTGGTTGCCCCCAGGATCACACAGCAAAAACCCAGGCCTTTCTGACCCTGAAGCCCAAGTTCTGGACCACTGCCCCAAGGCTACAAAAGGCCCTCGATGTCAGCCAAGATTTTTATCAAACTTTTAGAAGAGGAAGTTTTTAATTTTACCAATAAATAAACATACCTTCAATAACTGCATAAGGCACACATTTTCCTGGAGCTTCTGAAAGAATGCTCTTCAAGTCTTCACCCAAGTGGATTCTTTTCGCTCCCTAAATGCAAACAACATATGACGCTGACTGATGAGTACTGCGCGTTCTATCAAACCTAAAGGCCAAACAAGAAAATGACTGTTTGCTTGTCTCACATCGGGAGAATGAGGAAATCAGGCAGGAAGGAGCGTGTGGAGAACCACGTCCCCAAGCTGTGTCCCAGAAGTTGTACCACATAACCAGGCGTGTACCATCTAGAGACCGGGGTGCCGTGCACAGTCTTTCTCCTGTTATTGGAAACATACCCTCCTTTGCGTTTTCTTTTGGTGAAAACAGCAAAGGTACTTATCAGTTTTCATACCATAGACTGACCATGATTTAACCTCTTCCTGACGACACCGAACTGCGCATCCAAAGGCCTTACGTGTAAAGCACCTAAACGGGTGCCAGACGCGTGGCAGTGGCCCAGGCAGCGGGGTCTCTGAGCATGTCTCCATCCGTGCTCCCCATCACGCATGGCAGGAAAGGGATGCCTTCACTTTGCAGGGTGAGGCTCTGTTTGCTGGCGCTATTCTCCCGCTTTCCCGTTCGCCGTCCTACCCCTGGACAAGCAGGCGAGCACGGTGACCACCGCTGCCACCTCCCTACTCCTGCCACCCCTCCCTCCGTTCAGCCTCCGACCTACCGCGCGTGGGGACCCACCACGCCTGGCGCCCGCTGCATCACAAACAAGACAGAATTAATAAAATCAATGACCGTGTCCTGAGCATCCATGCGCCAGGCACTGTGCTGGGCGCCGGGCATTCAGGGATGAATGAAGGACACTCCCTACTTGCGGCATATCGCCGTCAACAAATCTGAAGATGCCAGGCAAGTAAAGCCTCTGGGAGTGAGGGGGGACTTGGCACTCTGAGGTCACTGTGAGGTGAGGCTAGTGCTATACAGTAAACGACAGGAGCCACGTCAGTACAAACTTATTAACCACCTACCCTGTGAGGATAATACAAATAGCAGCCTAGCAACTCACGCTTACAGTCTATTGACTTGTTATCTGTCTCCCTCCCCCGGACTATTCAACTGTGGGAGATGATGGGACCTTGCTTGTCTTGTTCACTGCTGTCCCCCCCCCCCCCCAGTGGCGAGAACAGTGCCTGACCCATAGCAGGCGCCCAATAGGTGTCTGATGAATATGTTAGAGAATAACCACTCAGACCCACTACAGTTGACCCTTGAACAATGCAGGGCTTAGCGGTACCGACGCCCCCACACACTTGAAAATCTGTATATAACTTAACTATTCATAGCCTACTTTGACGAGAAGCCTTACTGATAACATAAGCAGTCAACCAATACATATTTTGTATACGTGTTTTACACTGTATTCCTGTACTAAAGCAAGCTAGAGGGAAAAAAAAGTATTTTTTTAAAAAATTGTTAAGAGAAAATACATTTGCCGTCCTGTATTTATCAGAAAAAACCTGCGGATAAGTGGACCCGGACAGTTCAAACCCATGTTGTTCCAAGGTCAGCTGTATATACCAGGCACTAAGCTAGACACTTTAAGTGCGTAAGTTCATGTGATGCTCCTACCATCCCTATACAGTAGACATTATTATCCCCAACTACAGACAAGGAAACGGAGGCTCAGAGAGGTGAAGTGATTTGCTTGAAGTCACACAACTGGGAAAGTATCCACCACAGAATGGCCAGTTCGATTTTTTTTTTATTTTTTTGTTAACGTTTATTTATTTTTGAGAAGAGAGAGACCGAGTGTGAATGGGGGAGGAGAGAGAAAGAGGGAGACACAGAATCCGAAGCCGGCTCCAGGCCCTGAGCTGTCAGCACAGAGCCCGATGCGGGGCTGGAACTCACGAGGTCGCGAGATCATGACCTGAACCGAAGTCGGATGCGTAACCCACTGAGCCACCCGGGCGCCCCTAGAATTTTTTTTAAAGATGAGTGGGAATAGGGTCAGAAAGACCTGGGGTTTAATCAAGCTCCAGTGTATCTACTATGACTTTGAGCAACCTAATTTACCTGAGTGTCCCTTTCCAAAACTTTCAAAAAACTGGAGAGAAAATGGGGCGCCTGGATGGCTCCACCGGTTAAGCGCCCGACTTCAGCTCAGGTCATGGTCTCACAGCTCGTGAGTTCCAGCCCCGCATCGGGCTCTGTGCTGACAGCTCAGAGCCTGGGGCCTGCTTCAGACTCTGTTTCTATCTCTCTGCCCCTCCGTCTCCCTCTCTCTCTCTCAAAATATAAGTAAACATTAAAAGACTTTTTAAAAACCTGGGGAGAAAAATCTCACCGGAGTTTTAGGTGTACTAAATGAAGCTTAAGGTGTGGGAGAGCCTAGCCCAGGGACGGGCACATAGCAGGCATGCAGTATGTATTCCCATCGCCATGAGAGATCCACAAGGATAAGACTCAAACCTACTCTGGAAGTTTTGCAGTCTGATCAAGAGAACAGACTCTAAAATGTTAGGAATCCCGACTCTTTCCAGGAAGGGGCTTTTTCATCCTCATTTGGGAACTAACTGGCAAGACTTTTCGAAAATGGATCCTGGAGAGTTCACGGTTTCAAAGCTCCCACATTCAGCCAGCCTGATGCCAACCTGATTTCTGACTTTGAGAGGCAGCGAGTGAAGTTATCAGTTACACTCCTAGCCAATCACTTCAGGAGTGACTTATTTATAATCAGAAAAACAACTGGGCGGCTGGAATCTCACGAGGAGGCCATATGCACCACAAATCCAACTGCGTGGTAACCCAGTTCATTTCAGATGGATTCCAACACTCCCCTCGATAGCAGGGATTCCACTGAAAACGATATGATGATAATGAGCTGAGTCTGGTTTAGGAATCCTTCTTCAAATAAATGTCAAGTTAAGCCCTAACTGCGATATTGGGACATTTCAGCCAAAAGGAATCGACAAACATCTACTGAGCATCTATCACTCGTCAAGCACGGAGTTAGAACCCAGAAGGAAAGAAAGACAAAGCACAAATGAGACCCTACCTCCGACCTAAAGAGGTCCATCTCTCATGCGCCAGACATTCACAATAAAGCAATGTGGTCAATCAGAAAAAAAAAAAAAAAAAAAAATCCCACACTTGGAATCAAAAGACCTCACGTTAAGTTCCAACCAGACCAGCTGTAAGACCTTTCCTCTGACTCTCAATTTCCTGCTTTGCAATCTGGAGGGAACTGTCATTTTCTCTACCTCAAAAAATTATCGTGAAGGAAAAAAAAAAAAAAAAAAGATGAGAAGGTGCTAAGCTGTAAAGGGCAGCCCAAGGAAGAGTTATTTTTAAAATAACTAAAATATTAAAAAGGAAGAGTCTGTAGAAGCAAGGAACTGAGTAGTTACATAAATGGGCAAAGTCTAGGGTTTCTGCACTTGCTATCGCCTCCATCTGAATTGTTCTTCCCCTAGACACCTGCACGGTCTCCCTCACCTCCTCCTGGGCTCTGCTAAATGTCACCTTATTTAAAATAGCAAACCTCCCTTTCTCCAGCACTGCATTTCCTCTCTTCCCCACATTATTTTGTAGTATTTTTCTCCCCATCTGTCATGCCATCTGATGTACTTGTTACTGTCTGTCTGCTTGTACCAGAAGGCGATCTCCGTGAGGGTAGGGACTTTGGTCCCCGAGGGCCTGGAGCAGAGTCGGTGGTCAACAAATAGTTGTCGAATAAAGTCACGAAATCGAGATTCCGAGTAATGAGAGGGGCTTCGGAGGAAAGGGGGCAGTGAAACGGTTATTACGAAACCCGAATTCCGGTCCTAGCTCTTCCAGGGACTGGCGGAGCGACACCTGTCAGGGCCGGTTTCCCCTCTGGCCAAGTTTCCGACGCTGGAGCGGCCCAAGGCGAACCGTGGGCTCACCAGGACCGGGGGCAGGGGTGACCCGGCTGAGGCCAGGCTGGCTCCAGCACTGACCTTGAGCTCTTGGGCGACCTGGGCCTTCTGCCGGTACACGGAGTACAGGACGGCGGTGACGACAGAGCTGGCGCCCAGGAGGATGAACTGGCCCAGCGAGGGCCGCCCTCCGCTCTCCATGGCCGCGTGCCGGTGGCGACGCCGAGGTCAGGCCGCGCGCCCCCGGAGCTCCGCCGCCCTCCACCGGGACCGCGCCCCCGCACCGCCCTTCGCGAGACCGGCTCTCGGTCCCCAGGCGATGACGCGCGGCGCCGGCACCGGAAGTGGGCGGGGCCGAGCAGACCGGAAGGCGGCGTCGCCGGGGTGATCGTCCGGCTGCGGCGGCCTGCACGGCGGCCTGCACGGCGGCGGGGTCTCCTTCGCGGAGGGGAGGAGCGGGATGGTTTGGGGGAGCTCGGCGACGGCTTGTCGCTCCTGACCCTTCTTCCGCTTGGACGCGCGGCGCACGGGCCACAGTTGACGTGCTCGCGGCGCCCTGGTCTCGATCCCTGTGGTTTCCTGGGCTTACTGGGTTGTTTGATGGGTTTTTGGATGGCTCCAGTCAGTAGATTGAGAAGAAAGAAGAGGACGAGTGTTAGCAGGCACTTAGGAGTATTGCACATTTAAGCTTATGGCAAACCTTGAGCCTTGGATTTTATTCTTCCACTTTACAGACGCGAAAACTGAGGCCGGGGAAGTTAGGGAATATGCACAAAGTCACACTGCTAATGAGTGCTAGAGAGGAATTCATCACACTCCAGAGCCCTTAACCTCCAAGAGGGCAGATTATACAACCAAAGTAGCCCTTTAATCTGGCATCACTCCTACAACAACATATTTGTTAACTAATAATTACAGCTATTTTGTTGAGTGCCTGTTATGTGTCGGGTACTGTGACAGAAGTATTACGGACATGCCATTTAATCCTCACAAGACGACTATAGAACAGCTTCCAGGCTATCTTCTGACCTCTTTAGTGATCTCTTAACTAAAATAATCAGAAGATACACAAAATCTTACCCAAAACATCCGTGTGTTCATCAAGCTAGCTCCTACAGGTTATGCTTTAAATTCTTGAAAATGTAGGAAGGTACCCACGGGTCAAAATTAATATGTAAAATGCATCTAAAATCTGTAAATTTCGCCACAAAAATAAAACCTCTTTACTAAAGAAATTGGCTATCCATGACATTTTCGACCACATTCCTTAATTATCCTTGGAGTCAACCAAGAATTACTTGGAGTCTAACCAAGAACATGGGGTTAGAATCTCCAGATTGTTAACATCCCCAGATACTTTTGATGATTTTCAATCCAAGAGGTGATCGTGAATTTGTCACACGCATGTACACTTAAAATGAAGTCTAACTTTAATTTTTTTAATGGAACTTGCCCAAAAGTTAATAACACATTGTGTTGGCAAAGGTGCAGGGACAGAGGCTGTCATATATTGCTGATGGGTGTGAAACTGCACATTCCTTATAATTAACAATTAGGCAATGATGATCAAGAGTAAAAGTGCCCACACCCATTGGCCTAGAAATTCCACCTCCAGAAATTCTCCCTACATAAATTCTTACACATCTGAACATGACAAATATACACGATTATTCATTGCAGCATTGTTTTTAATAACAAGAATAAAAACAATGTCAATGTTATCAATAGTTAATTGGTTAAGTAAGTTTTAAAAATAGGTGTATACGGGGGGCACCTGGGTGGCTCAGTCAGCGGAGTGTCCGACTTCGACTCAGGTCATAATCTCACAGCTTGTGAGTTCGAGCCCCGCGTCAGGCTCTGTGCTGACAGCTCAGAGCCTGGAGCCTGCTTCAGATTCTGTCCCACCCTCTCTCATTCTGCACCTGCCCCGCTCATGCTCTGTCCGTCTCTGTCTCTCTAAAAAATAAACATTAGGGGCGCCTGGGTGGCGCAGTCGGTTAAGCGTCCGACTTCAGCCAGGTCACGATCTCGCGCTCCGTGAGTTCGAGCCCCGCGTCGGGCTCTGGGCTGATGGCTCAGAGCCTGGAGCCTGTTTCCAATTCTGTGTCTCTCTCTCTCTCTGCCCCTCCCCCGTTCATGCTCTGTCTCTCTCTGTCCCAAAAATAAATAAATGTTGAAATAAAAAATAAACATTAAAAAAAATTTTTTAAGTAGGTGTATATGAGCATAGTAATGTGAAAACGCAAAGTGCAAACCTGTTTAAGTATGATCCCATTTATTTTGAAAAGGAGGGAGGGAGTGCCCGGGTGACTCAGTCAGTTAAGCATCCTACTCTTCATCTCAGCTCGGTCATGATCTCACAGTTTGTGGGTTCAAGCCCCATGTTGGGCTCTGCACTGATAGCATGAAGCCCGCTTAGGATTCTCTCTCTCTCTGTTCCTTCCCCACTCGCGCACGTGCTCCCTCTCTCTCTCAAATAAACTTTTTTAAAAAGGAGGGGGAAATATATATGTTTACATATATCTAGAAAGATTCATAAAAAGCTGATGATATTGGTTGTTTACATAGAAAGGAATCTGGTGGCTAGAGAAAAGGGTGACTTTTGACTCTTTTGTACCTTTTGAGCATGAACGTATGGCATGTTTTGAACTAATAAAACTTGATTTTAAAAAGAACAAGAAGAACACGCTGCTCTACAACCCATGATTATGAGAGCCTCCTGCATCCGAGGCTCTGGCTGGGCACTAGAAGATACAACCGTATATACCCAGGCTCTGCCCTCTGGCAGTGTAGGGTCTTGGGGAGAAGCAGAAATGGACAGTTATCTGCTATCCGGGCCCAATGGAATTAGGGCAAGCAAAACTCCGCCCGCATAGGGAGGTGCAGCTTCCTCTCCTCACTAGGGAAGGAATTTGAGTTCTGTAAACATGACGGAGGGTGGAGTGGGGAGGTGGGAGTAGGAAAGCCTTCATGCAGAGGAAGGAAAATAAGCAAAAAGTGCAAAGCTACCAGGAGCTGGCTGGGACAGCCCGAGCCCAGGACACGTGATGACAGAGAACGGGGAGCAAGTAATTAAAAAGGAAGGTGGCAGTCAGGTCCTGTAAGCTCCTAAATGTCAAAACAAAAATTTCAACTTCTTCATTTGGGAGATGCAATCTAGTAAAGCTGGCTGAGAACCAGCAGCACATGATCTAATCTGGTTTTGGGTTTTTTTTTTTTTTTTTCTTTTTCATCATCAAAATCCCTGTATCCTTAGCACACAGCAGGGGGAAGAACAAAAAAGGGAATGTAAAAACGCAAACAGGTGTAGCGCTTCCACTAAAGGGTCCTTGTTTATGGGTTCTGATTATTTGCTTTATTCTACAGACCCTTTCATGGGTTCCTTGGGAGCTTGTTAAAAGACCATCAGTCTTAAATGAAACAGTTTGATCTTAACCAACCCTGCCATTTCTTTGCCAAAGGCTAAAATCCTTCATTAGCCATGCTGAGCACAGTCCTATTGGGCCATTTTGAAATGTGCATGATGTGGATCTTGTTAGGAACGATTGAGAGATGGGCAGTTTCGGCTGCAGCCAGATGTCCCTAGGGAGCCATTCCCAGCTCAGAATGGCAGTCCTCATTGAATCACGACGTAAAGATGAGCCTCTGATTTCAAGAGAGTGAGTTAAGTAAGCACCGGGCGGAGACTCTGGGAGGTGGGAGTTGGGAGGCAAACCTGAGAGAGATGAGGACACTGCCACCACTGGAAACAGTGAGTACCAGACTTCTGTCATTGATTTTCTCTTAGAGGAGCAACAGTTCTCTGTGAGCCTCTTAGGCTGTCCGTCCAGTGAGGCATTTAGCAGAGTCCAGGCACCAAATAAAAGGAAAACTGGCATCTTAGCCGCTGCACTGATGTTACCAGACAGGTGCCACAGGAGACAGAAAATAGAAAAGATTCACATCCGATTGTCATTCAGTCTCCTTACAGAACTTTCCATGGGGAGAGCCACGAACATCATAAGTATTAGGAATTATATAATGTATTTAGCATATTTTTCATGAGCATTTTCCGCATGTATGTACTCTCCCAGATACGGTGGGTCATGAGGATAATGTACAGGGCATGCCCCCTAACCTCTCGCAGAGTACAGGAGACTTTTTCTTCTTTTCACGATGATTGAAACTACACCTGTTTAATAGCCAAATTATGGAAAGAGCCTAAATGTCCATCAACTGATGAATGGATAAAGAAATTGTGGTTTATATACACAATGGAGTACTACGTGGCAATGAGAAAAAATGAAATATGGCCTTTTGTAGCAACGTGGATGGAACTGGAGAGTGTGATGCTAAGTGAAATAAGCCATACAGAGAAAGACAGATACCATATGGTTTCACTCTTATGTGGATCCTGAGAAACTTAACAGGAACCCATGGGGGAGAGCCAAAGCATAAGAGACTGTTGAGAACTGAGAGCAAACTGAGGGTTGATGGGGGGTGGGAGGGAGGAGAGGGTGGGTGATGGGTATTGAGGAGGGCACCTTTTGGGATGAGCACTGGGTGTTGTATGGAAACCAATTTGACAATAAATTTCATATATAAATAAATAAATAAATAAATAAATAAATAAATAAATAAAATAAAAACATCAAAAAAAAAAAAAAGAAACTACACCTGTTTGGGTAAATAATCTGAGATGACTTCCTAAGATAGAACATACCAAAGAACAGATATATAAAAAACAAATATAGAAATCAATCACTTAGGGGCACCTGGGTGGCTCAGTCAGTTGAGCGTTGACTCTTGGTTTTAGCTCAGGTCATGATCTCAGAGTTCATGGGTTCGAGCCCGGCATCGGGCTCTGTGCTGACAGCACGCAACCTGCTTGAGATTCTCCCTCTTCCTCTGCCCTCTTCACTCACTCTCTTTTTCTGTCTCAAAAATAAATAAATAAATAATCTTTAAAAGGCAATCAATCAATAACAAAAATCAGCTAAAGGAAGCAAGAAACGACCTGTTACTAGGCCCCTAGAATGAGTTAATCGTTACAAGTGGACACCATCCTTGACTGTGAGCTTCCCAACAGCCATGGCAAAAAGGAAATATGTTGATCTAGTAGAAAACATGGGGCAGCAATCCCTATCAAAATAACACCAGCATTCTTTGCAGAGCTAGGACAAACAATCCTAAAATTTCTATGGAACCAGACAAGACCCTGAGCAGCTAAAGCAATCTTGAAAAAGAAAACCAAATACTGGAGGCATCAAAATCCCGGACTTCAAGCTATACTACAAAGCTGTAATCATCAAGACAGTATGGTACTGGCACAA